GATACTACTTTTCAAAATGGCAAGGTTCTTTTAGGAGATGGCAAAACATTTTGAGTACGGACTGGATGAAGTGGCATCATACAGTCCAGGAGAGACAGGTCAAAATGAGTTTTTCTCGTACTCTGGGAAGTTCTGTGTGAGCCAGCACGCAGCACTAGGAGATGAAAAATTGATGGCTAGGCTGACGTGGTCTGTGTGGGGAGGGCTAGTCTGGAACAGTATGAGAAATATTTATGATAGGAGAACGTGAGGGGCACTTTTCCCGTTCTCACAGTGTGCTTACCATGCCTGGGTGTGTTCTGTAAATTCTCAGCACATGGGAGTCAAGGAAAAGCAACCTTTCCTTTCCCAGATACAGGACACCAAAACCAAGAAGTGAAAGCAGCAGCTACGCGCATTGATGCCGGAGGAGGAAGGAAACTCGCATTATAGTGAAGCAACAGTGGTGATGGGTAACGCAGACTTGTTACGCATCAAGCTGCAGCAGCACGGTAATAGTGACCGGTGGGCTGCTGCCCATCGAGGGGTCAGCGATCCGGTGCCACCTGGCCCGCTGTGCCGCCCACACCCTCGGGCCTTCCCGCTGGGCTGGAATCCCTTGGCTGCAGACAGACTTGGCTGGCTCATCCGAACAGAGTGGTCTGTCCGGGGCTCCCAGCGACGACACTGCCACCGTGTCCTTGTCCTTATCTTGAAGCGCAGCAGCACGTTTTCATATAAAGATCTTTTTTCTTGGCAGCGGAACTGATGTGAACAGCGCAAACTTGGCAGTGAACAGTTCTTTACTTCTAGGAAAATCCTACAAAACCTGTAAAGTGCCAGTTAACCGTGGCGCAGGCTCTGCGCAGCGTGCCGCACCCGGATCAGAGGTCTGCCTGGTGCTAGGGTTACCTCTGCTGTGCCCTGTTGCCTTCTTGTGTTATCTCCAGCAAATGTTGTTTTAATGAGTACCTTACGGAGCTGAGAGCCTTCTTACTGGCGTCTGTAAAGAACACTTGCGCTGGTGCACTACATCTGGCGTAGCTGGCAGAGCCCTGGTGAGAAACGGCTTTTTGGGAAAGGAGAGCGAGGCCGGGACAGGGCGGGCGCCCGGCTGGCCCCGCACGCAGGCGCGGGGGCACTTGTGCAGCCTTTGGGCTGAGCGACCACCCCGTGAGCTGGCAAACAGGGAAAGTGTAATCTGGGTGTCCCATCCCAGCTGAAATATTAACTTGTCTCCAGAAGGAAAAGGAAAGGAAAAGGGGATAAAAAAACCCCAGCAGAATTTACATTGTAGTTTGTTATTAACACGCTTTCCAAAGAGTGCTGGAAAGTTTTGACCAGGAGGGAAAGACCAAGATATAGGAAGAGCTGGCATGGGTACCCCACAACAAGGAGAAGTGATGAAAGAGCCGAGAGCTGCCGTGCCGGCTGTGGGTTTTTTTGCAGCGGCTACGAGGCTGAGGCTGGGATCCCGCGACGTGGGACCGTGAGTTATGAACAAGGAACGGGGACTCTGGGCAACCTTTCACGCTGACTCTGTATGAGGTGACACCCACGAAGAATTGCAGACCACAGCTGACACTCGCTGGTAAAAAAACAGGAGAGAAAGTAGGGCAGCGGCTTTAGAATATAATCGCTGGTTTCAGTAATGTTTTTTCTTTTTTAAACAAACGCATAAGTAACAGAATGAATCTAGAAATCAGAATAGAAGTAGCGTTTAAAGGGAAAGGTGAGTGAGTATATTGGGTGCTCCTATGAAGGAAAATACTCCAGGTCCAGGAACAAAGATAATTACTAATGAAAAACTTCTCTTAAACTTTTTTTCCAACAGGTAACAGAGGAACTGAGTACCCCCAAAACTTCTGGACTCTTACCAACGCAATGCCATTTCATCCTCCAGGACTTCCGCACAGAGCCCCATTGACAGCTCCAGGTTAGTAAAGGGGTCAGACGGTTCCTACACCTTGGCAGCGCAGCTGAGGACATCCAGTTTTCCATTAACTTTGTCCTAATCATTTTCGCCCTGTCTTCCCTCTTATTCTCCCTTTCACTTCCCATGGATTCACTTCAGTTGTGTTTGCATAGACCTCTTGCATTGCTCAGAGAATACCTCTGCTCCTCTGAGTAATATAAGAGGATTCAAGGATACTCGCTCCTTTGCAACAGCAGTAGCATTGGGTTTGCTGAGCTTGGGGCGTGGTGGCGATCTTTACAACGGCACTTGTTTCTACAACAGGTTCCTGAAGTGGTTCCTGAGGTTGCCATTTTACAGCACGCAATCCAACACGACTTTCTGTTGTCAACCACACCTCCGTTTCTCACTAGCGCCCAACACAGTATTTTGAGCTTTCACATCACCACCTATGAAAAAACCAGCATCAGGTCCCCTCAGCGTTTAGATGTGAGGGCTGGCTCCCAGCAAGCTACCCGCTTACAGGCCATGAAGAAACACCCAAAGCCAACCTGGCCCTACACTGCCAGTGGCAGCCGGTCCCATTCCCACAAACTTTGATTCCATAGGATGTTGAATATGGGTTAATAATAAACCTAAACTTCCTTCTTCCTCGTGCTGACAGCTCTGAAAACAGGTGCCAAGCTAACCTTAACACTTCAGTTATTTTTGAACCAGCAGCAGCTGTATAATGAGATCCCCTGGAGAGTATTCAAGATCTCCTTTCTGGAAAATTCAGTAAACAGGTTTGGGAAGTATTGGCACACACAGGAACACACGCAAAAAGAATGTACAAGAAACAGTAATGGTTTTGCAATTTTTGAGTTTAATTACTTCAGCATGTGGCTTTTTCTTGCTATTCAGCCTTCCCCTTTCCATTGCAATCTTTCTTAGGAAACTTGCATAAATAAACACTTTTCCTAGACCAGTACACAAACCAGACACAGATGCACAAGTTTTTATTTGCAGTTTTCTTAAGCCGCGGTTTCTTAAATTCTTAAGAGAGAAAGTGTGTTAAAAAAACTATTATGCAATCAGATCAAATCTCTGATGGTGAGATGCACTGAGATCAGAGGACTCCATGATGGAAGAACACGACAATAAGCGTCATAACAGGGACTACACTTCAGTCTAACCTGTTCGGGAAGTCAGTTACAGAAGACCAGCCTCTCAAGGAACTTCATTGTCTGCACCGTGCTGTCAGAACAGCACAGAAGAAAAGTCTGGGTTTTTTACACTCTTGGCAAAATTGAGGCCTTTGTGAAGAAATTTAAAAAAAAAAAGAGAACCCAAGATAGATACGCAATTCACTCATTTCCCCCTCTCCCTTTAGCTCATGAAAACTTGAGACTCTTCACCCCTTTGTCTCAAGAAGTAAGCAAAAGAAAGACTAGAAAAGGCTAGAATAAGACGTACTCGACAAAAGATAAACACATGAAGGGTCACGAGGTGAAGAATGGTTACAGAAACAGGAATAAAATGACAGTGTGAAGGCATTACACGTATACACACAGTAGCAAGATCCTTCTCTGCAGCTCAAAAGATTTGATAATGAAGCACAAGTCCAATTAAGGCCAGCATAGATAACATGCATTATCTAGTAGGCTTCAGAATATCAAATTACCTTGGATTCTTGAACATAAAAGAACTGAAAACTTATTAGTTCTGAAACTTGGGAGAGAACAAAGCCTGTAGGTAGCCTGAATACCTAAACCTGAAAAAAATTCCAAGTAATTGCGCTGGTAGGAAGTATCAGGTGATATTACAGAACAGGTTTTCTACCTGCCTCTAGGCCCCTTCTAGCCCCAACAGTTTTGTATCCCTACAGCAAATTTCAGCGTTGTGTGGGCTAGTGGTAGCTTGCTACAAACTTGGTACCAGTGGAGAACTTGCTATTCCACAGACACCAGGGGCTGATGCCTACATTACAGCTGCTCAAAGAAGTTAGGAAAGCACTGTAGAAAGGAATTTTGAAGAAAGATTTTTTTGATTAAGCAGACAATAGTTTTTGTAATTTGCTGTCAAAGGACTCAAATGCATCTAGTTAATTTATTTTTAAGATTCTGCAAGCAGAAAATGCAGCAAGAAGTCCAGTGTTCATATAGGGTCAGGTAAACAAGTTGCTACTGCAAGCAGAAGAGAAATCTTAATGTAATGTCCTGCATCGATGCAAGTTACCCCATGACTTCTTATTTTTTTTCCACCCTCTCTCATTTTAAGGGCAGCTGCTGCACTTTGCTGGATGTCAATCAGTTCTACTCAAAATTTCTGAGGACACGTGACCTGTGAGCTAGGTGCAAGTTACCCTAGAAGAACTGCCATGCAATGTGCATGAGAAATCAGCATTACGCAGGGTGGCAAGCACTTCCTACCACAACACCTACAATCTGTGGCAATGGATGTGTGTTAGCATGTTAAAAAGTAATATTCCACAGTTAAAATGTAATTTTCCATAGGAAAAATGTTCCTTGTACCTAGGAGCAAATCTAGGAGTACAAAAGTGATCTAAGCAGATGCAAACAATTGTAGCCACAAACTATCAAAAAAGAAATCTCAAATTAAAATCAAAATTAAAAAAATTCTTAATTCCAAACAGTAGACAAGCCATCTGCTGAAACAGGCTCTCAGAAAGAGTAAAACCCATGTTTAAAATATTACACAATGCATTACTATTCAGCTGATTAAAAAAAAAAACAACAAACCAAACCAAACAAACCAAAAACCCAAACCCCAACGAAAAAAAAACAGCCAAACTTTACAAACAGGATACAAACAGATTTCCTCTTGCAATAAGGATATCAGATAAAAAGTTACAGAATATGTTGCGGTATGTTTACTGGGAGGTTGTTCTTCCTCCCGGCCCAGTGCCTTCACTCCCACCAACTCTTGTTTTAACCTTCTTTTCAGTTTTCCAGGTGTGCTCTTTGCTGTAGAAAGAGAACTTTCTTTTGTCTATACAGAATATGACGCCCAGGAAGCAGGTGAAGAGAGAGGTCAAACTTCTTGCTGATCCACGTCTTCGTAGTCTGTTTGACATCACTAAGCCAGTGACAGATGTTACGTGAGTTCAAGAAGTTTCTATCTCAGAGGCCTCTTCTATGAAGTTAGCAACAGGACTGAGAAGCAAGAGCGGGAACAGTTTATACTCTCCATTCCCATCTTCTGGGAGGAGAGGTGGATCGCCCAGTCCCAGAGCATCCAGAGGCTCAGCCTGGCTTGCCGGAGCTGCTGGCGGTAAGACAGTTCCACTACCTGACGGAGGATGAAGAGCAGGTTTCTCCTCCAGGGCGGGCAGTAGAAGGTCTTTCGGATCCTCTGTCTTCCCTGCAGCTTCGCCTGAAGGTAGTTCTTCAAATAACGAAAGCAGAGGATTGGCCCTATACTGTATCAGTTGCATATCTGAGGGAAAACAAACAGTTTAAACTCTACGCTCCTGTGTCACATAAGCAAAGGCTCTTATTCAAGACAAGGAAAAGGGGAGAAGCTGCTTCAAAGCTTGGCTTACCATACATGTATGGAAAACCATACAGCTGAGCTCTGGCAGACTACATCCACAGCTGCAAGAGGGGAGCTAAAGCTCCTGTGTCTGCTAAGATCAGTATCTGTAGCACACTCAAAGCCCCTAATACAAATGGCATATAATGGCAGCACTGAAGTACTAAAATGAGTAGCACTGCATCTGTGGGGGTCGTAGCCCATATAGGAGATGCTTCCACAAGGACATTTACAGTTCTGCTCCCTATTGTGGCACTCCGTCATGTATAAGAAAAAGGAAACGGTTAACACCAACATGGGGCATAGGATGGGGCCTCTTAAGATTGAGGCACAGCTTCATTGAGATCAGTGAAACATCCCCGTCTTCACAAAAGTTTGAAGCCCAGACCAAAGAAGGAGATAAACCATATCACAGGCTACAAAAATTCCGTTTCAATACACAGTTTTGGAAGAGTTTGGAGCTGTCACAGCTCCCAGTGTTCCTTCCTGCCCACCTTTGCTTCCTGCTGTTTCTCTCTCACTCGCTCCCAGAGCTTCAGTGCTCTCTGCCAAGTTTGCCACCTGAAGTAAAGCGGACAGAGAGTAAGACAGAATGCTTAACAACAAAATCCAAGCCTTCACAGACTGGTTAACAAAATTAAAGGTGAAAGGAGGAGGGAAGAGAAATGAAACAGTTGCCCAATGAGCCATTGTTGCACATGAGGGACAGCAAACAGGAGCACGGTGAAATACAGACAAATTTAACTAAAGCCAAACAAGCTTCTGACTAGCAAATTTTTTTTTACCTTCCAAACCAGAGGCTTTATTATGGCCTGTCTTGTTGGAATAACACTGTTAAACGCAATTTTATCAATATAATTACATTTTGCAAGCACTGCTTGAACACAGCTGCATTTTACCTCAGTTGTAGCCTAAGCTCTTATGACTGCGAAGTCCTAGTTTAAATATTATTTCAGGGCTACAAAATAAATGACACTTGCAAGGGTTTTTTTAACATGAGTCAACCTTAGGAACTGGACTGAGAGAAGTAAATTTGCACTGAACTTTTGTAGGTCCTCTGAGGAAATTCCATACAGCCATGTTCAGAATAAATACAGTATATTGCATTATATTTTTCATTTAGTACTTTTCCTTCAGTCTTCAGACAGATTGAAGACACACAATCTCATCTGAACTATAACCCCAGACCTAGTTATTCCTTGGCTAAAAGACATTATAGGAATCCCTGAGGCTAGGAGAAACAAGCCAAGAAACTGTTCTCACACACAAAGAGCAAAAAAAGACAAGATTTTCTAGTCTTCTCATTCTAAACAGAAGGTACAGAAGTAATAGACAGGAATAAAAAAAAAATTCCTCAATACAGACTGCTGATTCAACAGATGCCAGCTTGTTTCCCTCTTCCTTCTGTTCTCAGGCACATTCAGAAAGCAAAGAACATGTCATTCAAAGCAAAGTGGCACTTCAAATCAGCGCACTGAGTGTATTACTGCAGGTAAGAACATAAGACTTGAAGTTCTTTTGAGAACCCTCTTAAATTCATATATGCCAACAGTGATAACTGAAAACATTAAGTCAGCAGGACTAGATAAAACAGCAGTTTCATCCTGTGCTATCAATCCAGTCCCTACCCTCAAACTGAGGGTAGCAGTCAAAGCTGAGCTCTCAACATTGTATTAACCCTCCCCATCATAGAAGTAAATCTTACTCTTACGTTTTCCATACCAGGGGAAGTTTCCATCAAGCTCATATCCAGGGCTGGCAGCTCAGGATTAAGTGTCTGAAAATAAAACCAGGCTATATGTCACCTAATAAGGTCCTTAAAAGAAAACTTCAGAGAGGTCCTGGAAGGACAGCAGGATCCAGACCACCACCCCATCCACCGAAGCACACGGACGGTGGCTCCTCCACAGGCCTACAGCAATATCCTTCTAACCTGTGGCAGTAAACTGAGGTCACAGCAGAAGACAAGGACACCCTATTTCCCAGTGATTCCAGGTATATGGCCAAGTTTCATTCCATATCATAGTGCATAATTAAACAGATAAGCAGGATGTGATGATATGTGACAAAGGCTTGAGAAGGAGAAGCGAGTCCCATTTCCGGCACCACCCCCCCGTTCCTTTTTAAAAGGAAAATCCTGTAGGACCTAAAAAAGGCTCTCAATGCTACCTTGTACACTGTTAGACTCTTCGAATGACTATGTATCATTCTATCCATAACTATTTGCTTTTCAGGATTTTCCCCCCTCTTGCCCATTACAACACGGAATAAACCAGTAAAATTTCTCAATGCAACCTAATCAGTATTTTTCAGAAATCAGAAAAAGTGAAAAGACACTCACATCGCTGAAAGCTTCAGAACCAAAGTTATACTGCTTCCCAGATAACATTGCTTGAAGCTCTTCCAGGCTGGCATCAATGCAATTAAGAAAATCCTGAATTTCTTCTCTAAAAAGACAAAATTACTTAGTGCTGTAAGAAACAGCTGGCAGTTAGGACCTTCTTTTGCACCACAAGGTAGGTTGCTCACAATCCAGGTATTGCCAAATGAATGAAACCACATTCCTATATCACTTTTCATGGTCCAGCTCTTGGAAGGACAGGTACAAGGAAGAATATGTGAACAGCAACTATAATAATAGCTATTGTATCAAAAAGCACTTCCTCTTTCCATAACTACTCCCTCCTTCATTTTAATATCTTTTGAATGTTCTCAGATCCCAGCCTATATACCAACACCTGTTTAAACTAAGGTCTGATGGCTTTCACCTGGGAACAATAAATGACAAACAAAGGGCTGGAAATAACCTGTTCCTGAAGGAGCGCTACCTATTTTGAAATATCAGATTGCTGCTAAATCGTACGCGTTTCCAAGGACAGTGGGCAGGATTCAAGGGACAGTGAAGGATGTGGAAAGGAAGCTGCACGCACGCACGGCACCAGCACTGAACTTCTCGCTGTGCTGCAAGCTATCTCCTGTACTGGAACACTCGGCTACAAGCGGCAGCCGGTTCCAAGGCACTGCCCCACGCGTTGCAGTGCCAACAAGGTAAGATACTACCGAGCCTTCGGATTACACCGAGTGCTGTGACACATCATCGCAGTACTTCTGACCTGCAGTTTACTACAGCAGAAGAGCTGTCGGGAGAAAGAACTCAAGTTTGTTCCTTGTTGCGGCTCGCCCTGCAGCCCCACAAATGATGGCACTGATAAAGCTTGGGGGTCAGTGCAGAGCTGGGAACTGCTAAAGCAGCAGCGCTGCCGAGTGTGAAACCACAGCCCGTGTGACACTGATCCCGGGGCGAGTCTGATCTGACAACGCACAACGGAAATGAACCTTTGCAAAAACAAAGGGCAGAGAAAGGAAGCAACAGTGAAACAACGTCAGACTACCACCGATAGAAATCCATATCCAGTTCTCAGAAACAAAGCAGCACACGGTGCCCTCCTGAAACCACTACCCTTACCCTGCCGTTTGGCAGCACTGGGCAGTGCCGGTAGCCGGCGAGACAAGGGCTGATGTGACCAACTGACCTCACCAGTCCTCAGACTGGCACATCAGAAGTCAGGCATGCTCATTACCAGAGATGTGACGGATGAACTTGCCCTGCTTTTAGTGTATGATGCTAACACCTGTCTTTTTCAAGACCTGCGAACAAAGGGGCAGAAAATTCAGTTCATCAACGACATTTAAAAAGCTAATTCACTCTGTTCTGCTAAACACATCCTCTAGAGTTTGACAAGATCCCACAAGATGATGACAGCGTAACAGTTTCCAGAAACAAGCTAATACCTGTCCAGTAAAGGATCATTTTGGTTTCCGGAGCTGTTCTCGTTCAAGATGGAGTCAATTACTGACGCGGGGTCTTCTGGAGCATTAGGTTGTGCAGTATGGAGTTCCACGGCAACATTTCCTACTTCAGTGGATTTGTTGATATCATTTATATGAACTGGTGGGATAGGTTCTGCACAATTTAACTCATTTGGCTGCGATACTTGACAAAGAGATAAGTCAGGATTCAGACCTGCCGGTGTGTCTCTAAAATATGACCCAAAGAGAAACAACACACAGGAGAATTCATCAAGTCTATTACTACTCATTTCAAATTTAGTATCTCAAATCTTAATACCTAATAAGGTCAAGCCAGTCAAGGGTTCAAACAAAGAAAAAGAAGAACAGTGCCTTCCTAAAGGCAGATAAAGAATCTTTTATCACAGCTTATGCAGACAGCGTGTATCAGAGCAAAACACCCCATTTTGCCAGGCCAAAAGTGGCAAAAGAGCGTATGGAAATTAGGCAGGAGGGAAACTCTTAACACTGCGTCTCTGGAAACAGAAGATTCCAAACTGGTCCATATTTCACTCTGGATGTTAACAACTAAATGGGTTTTCACAAGAATCTGATGCCACATAAAAGAATAACTTCCCTTTAGTTGTGCTTAGCACAATATTAGCGAGAGTAATACTGAAACTGGAGATAAAACTATACATCTTGGTTTGTTTATTAGTAACCTATATACATTTTGGATTGTTTATGAGTAGCCTATATATGCATTCAGGTCCCTGTTCAGTCGAAAAGTTAAGTTTGTGCTTATTTGTTGAACAGACAGAAAAGCCTCGGCAAATTAAACTTCAACTGCCAATCACCTCGATAGGCCTTCAGGCACTCTTGAAGAGACATGAGCTCTCAAGAAGCTTTGCTGACCACGACCAACGCTACATGCTGTAAAAAAGACAGCCTACAAACAGGTCTGTCATGCACAAATAGTGTAAAAATTCAGAGAGGCTATTTCTCAGAATTCCTATGCATCGCTTATACTACATAACTACCTGGTTAACAACCTAAGCATAAATACTTCCACATCCTTTAAACGTACCTGGCTCTGCCACTTGTGTGTGCCACAGCAAGGAGACCATCAGTGGCATTTTCCAGGGTATCAGTGATATCTCGAATGATGAGACCTGTACCATTTCCATCCTCATCATCCGCACTATGTTCAGAAAAAGCCATCTGCAGGATACAGCAAATAGAATGAGTAAATCAAAAGGTCTGACTTTTTCGATGTTGAAGCTCCATTCTTCTTGCAGCTTCTCTTTCCTGTTCACATTTCACCTTTGACTAGTTGTACTGATTTGCATGATTTTACAGAGAGAGCAATGCTTTAAATCTGCCCATGTCAAAACAGAGTGCACCTGATTATAAGATTAGGGTATTAATAGTTATAAAGAAGACTCTGAGATCACTGTATATCATCCTGTCCAACCCATTGTCTCTCTCCTGGGAAGACTTACTGCTTGGCCACTCTCCACAGGTATGCGAACATACTGACGACTGTATTTGGAAGGTGAAGCGCCTGCAGCATCCGTTAGAGACCTGAGACAAAATACAGCTTTAGTGTATAGTTCTGCAGTAAAAAGCTGTAGCAATGCCAAATACATGCAGTAATGGTAAGAACAGTCATTCTTCCACTTGTAAGAAAACTGGCTTTTGGAAACGTTTTTTAGTAAGCGTACTGCAGACAGCTTGCATTCTAAACATGCTTTTTGTTTTGAATAAGTCAGTCACATTTGCACATTTTGAAAGAGTTACCATTTCTGGTAACTGTGCCCTTTGAAATTTAAAATGTATAGAATATTCTCTTCCCACCTATTTTTGTAGCAATAAAGAAGAGGAAATCTTTATTTCACGCTTTATTCAACTTCCATCAGCTTTCTCAAGTTGGAATATAAAAGTGATAAAAATATTCTTCATACACTTTAAGAAAAGTATCTTGCTTCTAGAAGCTGATTTATCCCTGTAATTCACATCTGACACTGATTTGTGACCTATCCAGCAATTACCTTTTTCTTTTGACCCCAACAATATAATTTCCTCGCATCAGACTTAGTATAAATTGAAGAATCTAAAAAGGAAAAACAAAAACCCAAAAACAAGTGGTCAGCATAGCAATCCTAACATTAAACTATTAATTCAGATTTTACTATAAAATTATGTATTTATGTGATTGAAATTAATAGGTAAATTAAAAATCCATTTGTGTTTATGTCTTAAAAACCAAAATGCTAGTTACGAATGGCATTGCAAAATTATCCCACTCGGACAGTTGTTTTTCGTTTGGTTTTTGTTTGTTTGTTTAGTTTGTTGGGTTTTTTTAATGTAATATAACACCACAAAGTCACTAGAGGATTCCAGACCAGAAACAGCTGAGGAATAAACCAGGAAAAATTTGTTCCAGTGCAAAAGCTCCTATAGTTTCTGGGTTCCAAGTTGACTCCTTGAGTGGTCTAAGTCTGTCTTGGTCCAAGATCTTTCACAGACTCCATTCCACGTGCCTGCAATCTCTTGGTTTAGGCTCTGTTACCATGCACTGCCTGCAGCCCCACGTTTACCCCAGGTCAGCTCGATTTACTGATTTCTCTCCAAATAAGATTCACTGAGATTTCAAACACATTGAAATCCTTTTTACTACGATTTTTCCTCAGTATTTTGCTGGTGGTTCTTTGCTGTGCTACTTCTGGGACACTCAGGAACTGTGAACATTTTCTTTATGCTGTTTAATATAGGCTGTTCAGCTCTGTGTCATTTGTCATTCTACATAAGCAAAGAATGCCATCAAGTATCACAGAGGCAGGAATAAGGATGGTAGCACTGAAGATGCTGCAATGGTACCTTAGACAGCAGCTTCTGTTGTTGACTGTGCTTCTGCCTTAGAACTGCCACTTCTTTCCACAGGGCCTTATTTTCTCTGCAATGCAGAATAAATCAGAAGACAGAGGGTGAACAGAGTTTACTTTATATGCTTTAGTTTTACAGCTTTCAAACTTTCACAGTACCTTGTAGGACCAATGGCAACATTCCTTCTGTGGATAACTAACCATCAGTTAATCCAATCCACTAGTATAAACTCTGGGTTAAATTAACTCCGTTTTCCATCAGGCAGGACCAAACACTCACTAATAAGGACATTCTCATCCTCTGCTGCTCCACCAATAATCTTGACCTGAAGTATTCCTTCAAAGCCTCAAAGCCTTAGAATACAGACATGGTGTTTGGAAACAGGCTGAGTGTACCACACGCAACCACAGAATAGTTTCAGAGTTTGTGTTTGACGGGTTTTTTTTTTTTGTTTGCTTTTTTTTTTTTTAAAAGGAACAGAGGAAGTGGAGTGAAGGTATATCCTGAACTTTGGTCAATACCTGCTCGCACACCAATGACCTGAATGAATTACCAGTGCCTATACAAAAAGGGTCTGAGGGAACAGAGATGAGGATGTGCAAAGTCCACTTCCAATTAGAAAGAAAACCAAAGACTAATTCTCCCTCACTGCATCTAACTTTGTTTTGTGTTTAGAAAAGGAAATGCTTTGATCACCCTAAAAACCTACTACAGGTGATGGCAACCAAAATGAAATCTCAAGATAGTCAAGGAACTCCCAGTCTTAATCTCTGGTCTGTAACTGAATTATAAAAGCAAACAAGATTTAGAATGTTGTGTGGGGTAGAATGAGGATTCTTAGAAAAAAAATATAGCTTCACCTGTTTCCAGTTCAAATGAAACCCACATTTAGAGTCAAGCTCCATTAGATATAGGCACCATTCAATGTATAAGCGCCTCTGAAACACATGGAGTCTACCTCTTCATGTTAGCCAGCCTGACATCCATGTTGTTCTGCTGCTCTCTCATTTCCTGGACTTCAGAGAGTACTTTGTGCAAATCCTCCGTACAGACCTTGAGATCCTCAGTTCTTACTGCAGATACCTAAAATAGGACCAGGTTACACATGCTTTACTACGAACAGCGCCTTGCATACTCCTTTCTACAGCAACAGTACAGTTAGTCTGTAGAAGCGTCCTGGTTTCAGCTGGTACAGTGCTGTGTTTTTTGGATTTAGTACAGAATAATGTTGATAACACACTGATGTTTCAGTTGTTGCTAAGCAGTGCTTACCCGAAGTCAAGGACTTTTCAGTTTCCTATGCTCTGCCAGGGAGGAGGTGCACAAGAAGGTGGGAGGGAGCACGGCCAGGACAGCTGACCTGAACCAGCCAAAGGGATATTCTATACCATAGAACATCATGCCCAGTATAGAAACTGGAGGGAGTTGGCCGGGAGAGGCCGATCACTGCTCGGGGACGGGCTGGGCATCGGTCAGCGGGTGGTGAGCAACTGTGTTGTACATCACTTGTCTTTTGTGGGTTTTATTCCTCTCTCTCTCTCTTTGTTATCTCCCTTTTCATTACAATCATCATTATTATGATGATTATATTTTATTTCAATTATTAAACTGTTCTTATCTCAACCCACGGGTTTTACCTTTTTCTGATTCTCCTCCCCATCCCACTGGGGGGTACCGAGGGGAGGAGTGAGTGAGCAGCTGCCTGGTACTTGGTCGCTGGCTGGGGTTAAACCACGACAAGAACAGGTTCAAACACCATTAAAAGATTAGGTAACACTGTAATTCTTATGTATCACAAAACACCGCAATTGCTACAGAAGACATTCCTTAGGACAGTCTACACTGTATGAAAAAAACAAGATGTCAATGACAACGTCGGATTAGCACTTTGTACGTGTAGACAGTAGATTCATCATTGTAGTTCATGATAAAAACCTACCGCTGATTGAAAATGGCCTTCCCGTGGGGGTTCTCCTACAGATTTGGTGACAGCTTGCCCTCTAGTGTCAAAGAGACCAGCAAAAACCAAAACAAATGATAGTGGAGGAAGAACAAGATCATATTCCTTTTAGGTGTGGGGAAACCTGCCAGCACAGGAGTAACAAATTTCCATCAAGTTACTGGGCGCGGGGTGGGGGAGGTGTCTAATTAGATGCATCCTACCCAGTTTGAAAATTTGTCCCACACCACCTGAATTGCAAATTGCCATATTGGTGTTTCCCCTATTACCTCTCTGTTCAGTGACATTCCAAAATTACGGAGACCTGTCTCCAGAAAGTCAGAGTTCAAACTGCTCTTCTGCCAGCAGCAGAATCCATGCACGCCATCTCTTCAAATAATGGTGGAAGAGTCACCAGAAAGCGAAAAGCTCACTCTCTTCTCCCCACACTTCCACATTCAAAATTTTCCAATTCCTTCAGCAACTCTCTCTGCGGTGGTGGCACTGATGGCTAACAACCACCTCAGGATTTTGAAAAAGACAGGTCTGAATGACATGTCCAGGTTTTGTGGGCATAATTGTAAAAATCATTGAGCCAAATACTGACCATAACGGAACCAAATGGAGTTGCACCAGGTAACCACCAGATGTCCCTTCCAACCTACAGCAGGCTATCGTTCTTCTTATTATTCTACTAAATCCCAAGGGGGAGGTCAAAGTATCTGGGATTGGCATGCTGGAGTGCTAGGTAACTTCCATGCAGGTTGTTCAAAGGAGAATGGGATGGCCAGAAACGGACCTACGGTGCTATAAAATAACATCCCATCACTTCATGATGAAACAGAACATAATTGTTATGTAATAACAGAATAGTAATCACTAACTACTTTCTTAACATAATCCAGTGTTACAAAGGATGGGCTGAATGGCCTGACAGTTCTGATCTCTGTCTACATTTTTAGATGCTTCACTATTCATTGCAGGTAATACCTTATGTTAAGGTACACGAGCTGTACCCCAAATGAAATTCATGGCTGTATGATTTCTCTTCGACATACCACCTCTCCATGGGGAAATCACCCAAAAGATGCAGACAGCAGGTGGAAATTCCAAATGCAGTCAGCCTGGCTCTAAAAAAAGGGCCAAACTAAAACATTCTGCCCCAGTGCAAGGAACTGCTCTCTCCAGAGTCTCTAACTAGATAATAAGGGTGTCAAGACTGAAGCACACCGGCAGAGCCAACAGTAAAAGGGAGTAAATAAAGGAAGACCTGCATTCAGACCTGCATTCCTGTTAGAGGCTTGAAATCCATTTTATAGCAATTACTGAAATATGACTCCATTCCAGACAGTAAAAGAGCAGGAAAAACTAACAGACTTTTTGGAAAAAATCACTAACATTTCCTGTGCAACAAAGAATATGTTTCACCAACCTATTCAATAGTTTCACATTAATGTCCTTGGCACGAACTACAGCTTTTGTCTTTCCATCTAGAATACTCCACCCAGTGCAATGTAGGGATTGATTCACGGACTCTGGCGCGGGTAAAAGCAAAGACCTTTATTGTTTACAAGTTTGTGCTTATATAGATTCACTAGCTGTCCATGCGCTCTAGTTTGTTCATGGATTGGTTAACCCCTGCTGTCCACGCGCCGTGGCTAAGCTTTTAATTGGTGCTGTTAATCAAGACATACATCTTCTAGTTTGGGTCTCACAGCTGTGCTTCAAAACATTTTTATCTTCAGCTCCCTTTCTGCGCTTGCTTCGTTACTTGCTTTCTCAGACTATTTCCTTCAAGGCTATGTTGTTCAAGGTCGCTCGCAACACTCCCTGTGAATCCCACAGTGCAACACTCCTGGGACACATGGTGCCATACATAACCTCATCAGCTGACTGCCCCAACATACCAGCAAGCGAGGCGTGCAAGCCAAGCCAAGTTAGCAATTACAGCATCTGGGAAGAGCACAGGCCTGAGTCAGAGAAGCAACTGTATGACTATATTTAATCAATTGTGATTCTGAGCAGAGACAGCTCAGTAAAGAATCGATCAAAACACAATTGTCACTCTCAAGCCTACCCTGCACTTTTATTAACTTGGGCAATGTAGCTACCACATTATGACATTCTAAAGAAAAGATTCTGCAGTTCAAATGTCAACATGACGTATCACGATACTCTTCTTTCTCTGGCAGCCAGGATATTATAGGTTGTAATGTGCCAATAGAGGATAAATATCTGTGCAGAAACAGGTCAGACAAGGCCTGAATGTACAAAAGAAAACTGGAAAGCACTAATAAAGATGTACCTTAGTGGCAATGTAGTTTTGGAGGAACAATGGAATTTATGCACACTCACCCAAATGAACTGATTACTGATGCCCTTGCTAATTTTCAATGAGCACCAAATGGGAATGTATTTCCCCTTACTTCTTTCACTTTGTGACTCTTTCCAACTCCGCTGTGCTGGCAGAATTGAAGACCACGCTAAGCTGCAATCAGGTATATGAACTCTCTGTGGAAAAAGAGCTCTAGTTTGATGGCTATGAAGAATGTGGTTCTCCTCCGGTGCGTTGCTAAACAGCAGGGTGTGTTTTGTCTAAGAGCTGGCACGAAGAAGCCAAGCCAAGCATTAGCCTGGCATTCAGGAGGGAGTTACAAAGGCTTGCATCATGATGCACAACCTTGGTTCCCATGGAATTTGTTGGCTGTAAAGCGTTTGCAACCCCCAGACACGCTCTTGATAAGCTACTTTTCATAACAAAGTAAAGTAAATACATGCTTAGACTGTACCTTGCGTTTGATGTTTTCCAGCAAATGTGCCTTCCCTTGCTTGAAGAAAGGGTGCTGGAACTCAATGACTGAACTTTTCTCTGCTGCAATCATGCCATTCTCCAGAGCAATCACCTTCCTGAAACCATCTGTGAAGAGGTATTAACAAAGCCATTTCTTTCAGTGCAAAGCTGACTGTTACAACACACAGCTAAAGAAAGTGCCAAAGCTACTGAGATACCTACAGCACTACAGTTACTGGGAGCAGAAACTATAAAAAACAGCCAAAGCTGCTTTTCTTTGGTGCTCAATGATCTGACTGCTTCGATCTTCACAGCTAGAGAACACGTCCACGATACCATCAAATGACCTTGCAGGCTGTATGAACAGCATGCACGGCAGAGGCCAGCTAGTGTCTGCAAGCAAGACAGTGATGTCCAAATAATCATGGAAGTTAGTTAGAAATCAGATTTATTAGGACATCTTGAATAAAATCTTGTCCCAGTGGAAGCAGTGGAATGGTGCACCTTCCCTTTCCTGTCTATAATCCCAGGCAACTACGTATCAAAGCAGATGCTGTCGTGTACCACCAGGGTTACAGAATAAAGCAAGGAAGAGAAATTAGTTCTCAGCCTATGCAAACACAGGCATGCAGAGTACTTTCTCTATACCAGATTACCTGCATGAAATAAGACACTGCCAGCTCTGTTTCCATCACAGCTTCAAGTACCACAGGGTAGATTCAAAATACAGTTGACAGACCAATCCATATCTCTCCGCGTTCAAGTTTTTAACATAGTTAACATATTCCAGTTTCACTGCGGCCCAACAACAGTATCATTAGAAAGCTTTACTCGAAGCTAGGATAGGTCCAGCAGGAAAAGGAGGCTGCCATCGCATTGCATGTCTTTGCAGGAATATTTACATTTTAGCATTTACCCTTGCTACAAGGCAACTGACAACTGTTTGTTTGCACTATCCTCTGATGCTCAAGTGATGGAGTCTCAACACCTAACAAACAGCAGCGTCTACCCTGTGTCAAGAGGCTAAATGTATGCTTTCTCTCCCACCTCTGACAAAATCTAAACAGGTATCAGCTAGAGAGACCAGACAAAACTCCTGAGCAAGGATAGACAGTTCCTCCCCCTGACTCCAAATGGAAATTCTAAATAAGGCAGCCATCTCCAACGCAGTTTGTACCTTCACTCAGCCCATAAGCTATCTGCTGCGAAACAACTATTTCTGCTGTGTGTCACAGCCCTGCACATTGTACTATATCTGTGATTTACCACCTCACTCCAGCTTCTTTGCCTGTACAAGTTGTATGTGCGTTGTACAATGGATGCTACGCGATGCTCACAAGTCGAGCACAGAAAACATAATGAGAAACTTAGTCCAGCTCGATCCATCAGCATGACTAATCTTGTTTCAACACAGCAATGCAGGCAACAGCATGATCTCGGCAATTTTTTTCACATGCTAGATGCATGGGCGTAGATATGCCCTTTGTTCCTCTGGGTACGCATAAGTTTGCTGTTACCATTAACACTACCACTGGATCCCAGTGACCTCTACCCAAGCTTTAGGTACCAGCACAGGAAACAATATTTTTATGGTCATTGTTCAAACGGACTCAGAGCTGAAACACAGAAAACAAAGACTAAGCCAAGCTCTACTGTCATTCTTTTCTTTTGCAAAGCAAACTCAAGACCAGAATTCAGGTTTTCAGGAATGAACGATGCCAGGTCAATTGGTTTGTTTAAAGAAATTCAAATCAATGCCAAGTAGCAACGAACCTGGCAGAAAGAATACGTAAGAACAGCTGATGCTTACACATGTTAAGCTGTCGTATGAAGCTGGAGATATTGTTATGTTTGAAGTACTTGGGGAGTAGCTCCTTGGCAAACCTTTGCTCATCCAGAATGCAAAAGTTCTCACCATTCTAGGAAATAAGCAGAAGTAACAGTTAGAGAACAAGCAATTTTTCCAAGATGTTGCTCATAAGTCAAGACCATAAATCAACAGAGACAGCTCCTACAACGGGGAAGGGCAAAACACTTAGCAAAGGGAATTGTCTGTGTGAGCACCTCTGAGTACTTGGGACTGTACTAAAGTCTGAATCCAAAAAGATAGTTATGTGGAACACTTCTATTGAACGGGGGATTTATTTAAAGCCCTGAAGTTTTGATCTTAATCCAAAGAAAAATTGTTCTAAACCCCCACGTATCTGCTGCTCTCTTCGTCCACAGGAAACATAAATACTGCCCAAGGACTACGGAATCCATACGACTGGCGGGCTTTGAGCTCCCTCCATCAGAGTCTGCCCAGCTTCTGACGAGATTCTTCCGCTGTATATACTACGTCACCACTAAAAATAACCAAGTAACGCTGCAGAGTTACTAAAAGTTCCGACAACACAACCCAGGGGTGAAAAAAGGGTAGCTGTGACACAAGCCGGTTCAGATTTATCATATTCTCAAGTTCAGACTTCCTGAAACCAGCAAGTCTTTGTATCACTTTTCTGCTGTTCACAAAGAGAACAAAAACACTACGGTTTTTTTCATCTTTGCCTTTGTACAGGCCAAACCTCGGGGAAAAAAAAAAATACAGAAAATCGTACGGATTTAAAAATGACAGGGGACAAAAATAAACATGGTGTCCGAGGTCTGACTAGTCTGTGTTCGCCATGCCCTATGCCTGAGGGCTCACGGGACCAACGAGGCCTATCTTCCTCCTCTCAGGAAGAAATAAATTAAAAGTTAATTACTTCTTACAGTGCCTT